TCGGTGTCCTATCTCAAACTACTTTTCTATGGTTTCTCTATATACCCTAGCATTTTTGACCAGTTGAAAGGGGACACCCTGTATAGTCCATTGTCTTTGATACAAAAACCCATTTACTTAATAACACGTTTCTCTTCAATGTCGAATCTGTTCCTTTCCTAATAATCCATATCAGAGCTTCATCATAGGTTAACATTACATATTATGTTCCATTAAGATCATAATTCTTTAGTTTTATTGATATTTTTACTTCTCTTCCTTTTTCTGTTCTTTTTACATTATTTTCGCCTTCTTGGATGTAATTTTCAATTTCATTTTCACAATTTTCTTCAGCATTTCCTTCTCCCAATGGGAAATTTGTCTCATGTTGCTCATTTTCTTGATTTTTTTCTTCGTAATTTATTGAGCACACTTGGTTTTCTACCTGATAAATAAAAGCTGTTGTAATTTCTGCCTCTCACCACAAGGCTTGCCTTATATTCGTCTTCGTCATTTTTTTCTAATATGTACTTTGGAAGCAAAAACCCACTTTGTGTTCAAAATGTCTGTACCTTTTGATTTCTTCACTTTAGTCCTTTAGTTCATGTTTTAGTTTTTCCATAAACTATTTCCTTTTCCATTGCTCTGATCCAAGTATTTTTATCTTTTCTATGTATTATATCTTTTACATTTTCTGGTATTTCTTCTACATAAGACCCACTTTGAGGTGTTTCAATCAATCTTTTATTTTTCTTACTAAAATTTGATGACTCAGTATCAGTTTCCTCCATTTCTTTTACATAATTTATGTAATTTAATACAGTATAATGTCCATTATTAAGGAAGTATTTTATAGTTTCAGAACTTGCTATTTTATGTAAATGGATTTGACCCGCCAATAAATAAATCAGTTCACAAAATCGTATTGCATAAATTAGGGTTTGGGTTAATCAGTTACAGAATATCAGCCTGCACTCTGAATCTCTAGGTTGAAGTTTTTGAATACGTTGAAATTTGTATTTATTTAGAATTTTTTAAACTTCCGATGCAGTTATCCCACATTGGGAGGCAATAAATCTTGTAAAATACTCTGCATTGATATTCACTTGTGCCAAAACGTTTGTTTCATTATTTGTATTCCTCTCGCCTGTTCGACACAGATCCAAGTTGCGCTAAACCTTTTGAAATAATATAATTTCTTCTTGGCAACATTCAAACTTTTCTATAATATAAACTGTGACAAAATTCGAAAAATCATCTATACAAAATATTTTAACCCATCATGACTTATCGGTCCAACAACATCAGAATACAATTCCAATAATCTCTTTGCCCTTTTTCCAATACCAAAATGAGTTTGAGCAATCTCAAAATTTTTTTGGAGCTTTCAAAAGTTTCACATCGAAAGTCTTAGAATCCTTGACATTTTTTGCTGTCTTTGAAAAATATTCAAAGGTTTTGTATCCAAAATCAGAAAAGCCTTTGAAGACAATGTTTGAAACTTTCAGAGGCATTCATTTAAGTCTTCAGATTTTTGAGCGTCCTAAGAATCAACATCTGAAATCCAGAATCTTTAATATTAAGTCTTAAAATTTCATCAAAGTGTCTATCTAAAATTTTGAATGAGGAGGCTTCATGTTCAAAATTTCGAATTTTCCATTCTGTACTTAAGAATTCCTAAGAGAATCTTGAAACTTTCAGGATCTTCAAGTTCTTTGAAGCCTGTCAAGAGAAAACAGCAACATGAAAAATCTTGGAAGTCAACCTACAAAAACTGAATTAGTTGAAATTACAGTCTCACACATTTCAATGTTTTCCTGGAAAACTAGTGAAGGGCAAATTTTGAAATTTTTTGCATGTAGAGAGGAAGGTCAGACACTCATTTTCCCGAAATTTCAATTTTTTCCAGTGGAAAACAGCAACATAAAAAATCTTGGAAGTCAACCTACAAAAACTGAATTAGTTGAAAATACAGTCTCACACATTTCAATGTTTTCCTGGAAAACTAGTGAAGGGAAAATTTTGAAACTTTTTGCATGTAGAGAGAAAGGTGAGACGCTCATTTTCCCGAAATTTGAAATTTTTCCAGTAGAAAACAGCAACATGAAAAATCTTGGAAGTCAACCTACAAAAACTGAATTAGTTGAAAATACAGTCTCACACATTTCAAAGTTTTCCTGGAAAACTAGTGAAGGGAAAATTTTGAAACTTTTTGCATGTAATAAGAGGAAGGTGAGAAGCTCATTTTTCCAAAATTTCAAAATTTCCTAGTGAAAAATAACAACATGAGGAATATTGGAAATCAACCTACAATAACTGAATTAATTGAAAATACAAACTCACATATTTCAGAGTTTTCCTGGAAAACTAGTGAAGGGCAAATTTTGAAACTTTTTGCATGTAGAGAGGAAGGTGAGACGCTCATTTTCCCGAAATTTGAAATTTTTCCAGTAGAAAACAGCAACATGAAAAATCTTGGAAGTCAACCTACAAAAACTGAATTAGTTGAAAATACAGTCTCACACATTTCAATGTTTTCCTGGAAAACTAATGAAGGGAAAATTTTGATACTTTTTGCATGTAAAGAGGCAGGTGAGACGCTCATTTCCCCAAAATTTCAATTTTTTCCAGTAGAAAACAGCAACATGAAAAATCTTGAAAATCAACCTACACAAACTGAATTAGTTGAAAATACAATCTCCCACATTTCAAAATTTTCCTGGAAAACTAATGAAGGGAACATTTTGAAACTTTTTGCATGTAAAGAGGAAAGTGAGAAGCTCATTTTTCCAAAATTTCAAATTTTTCTAGTGGAAAATAACAACATGAGGAATATTGGAAATCAACCTATAATAACTGAATTAATTGAAAATACAAACTCACATATTTCAGAGTATTCCTGGAAAATGAAGGGCAAATTTTGAAACTTTTTGCGTGTAGAGAGGAAGGTGAGACGCTCATTTTCCCGAAATTTCAAATTTTTCCAGTAGAAAACAGCAACATGAAAAATCTTGGAAGTCAACCTACAAAAACTGAATTAGTTGAAAATACAGTTTCACACATTTCAAAGTTTTCCTGGAAAACTAGTGGAGGGAAAATTTTGAAACTTTTTGCATGTAATAAAGAGGCAGGTGAGACGTTCATTTTCCCAAAATTTCAATTTTTTCCAGTAGAAAACAGCAACATGAAAAATCTTGGAAGTCAACCTTCAAAAACTGAATTAGTTGAAATTACAGTCTCACACATTTCGAAGTTTTCCAAAAAACTTAGTGAAGGGAACATTTTGAAACTTTTTGCGTGTAAAGAGGAAGGTGAGAAGCTAATTTTCCCAAAGTTTCGAATTTTTCCAGTGAAAAACAACAACTTGAAAAATCTTGGAAATAAACCTACAAAAACTGAATTAGTTGAAAGTACAGTCTCACACATTTCAAAGTCTCCTAGAAAATTAGTAAAGGGAAAATTTTGAAACTTTTTGCATGTAAAGTAGAAGGTGAGAAGCTCATTTTTGGGCGTCTATGGAATCCTTCTAGGTTTTTTGTCTCACATCTCAAATTTGTAGTCTCCATTCTAAGATTTTGAAAATAAGTTATATTAAAGTCTTCAAGATCTTTGCAGTCTTTAAAGGTTCAAATCTAAGGAGTTTTGAACTATTTCAATACTTATTTGTCTGCATCCTAAAATATTGAAAAGTCAGTCTTCAGAATGTTCCGTCTGCAATGTTGAGCCTTTAGTTCTAGATTATGAGCCTCAGAAAAATATCATCATTCTGAAGTTTTTACAGATAAGTCTTCAAAATTTTTTGAGTTTTTAGTGTCATATCGTTAGAGTCTCTAGGTCTAATTCATGTAGGTATCTTATAGGTCATGGAGATGGAGGTAGGAAAGTTTTGAACCAAAAGTATTAGAATCTTTGAAATTGTAATTTTTTTGGTGTCTCTATGGAAACTTCAAAGGCTTTGTGTCTACAATCAAAATTCCAAGAACCTTTGAAAACTTTAGTCTTAATAAGTCATGAGTTTCAAGCCTCTTTAGAATTTTCAGGCTTTGAAAAGTTTTTTGATTTTTGAGGGGAGAATTATTTCTTCAGGCTCGTCATGAATCTATAATCTTTAGTCTCAGGTACTAAAGTCTGTATAATCTAAAATCGTGAATAAAGTTCAAAAGGTTCAATTCTTGACTTTTCAGTTGTGTACTTTAGAGATTTTTTAGAATATTTCAGCTTTAAGAGATACGTTCTGAGAACTTTTAAGATCTTCAAGATGCTTTGAAGATTCAAATCTGGAGTATTGTGTCTTTAAATTCTTTAGGATCCAAGAAAGTTTCAGTCTCCAAGTTTCCAATTTTAAGGTCTACATTCTGATATCCAAAATAAGTCTTTAAAGTCTTTATTTGAATCATAGGAGTTTTCCATTTACTTAAATCTTGAGTCATTCCAAAGTCTTCAATATATTATGTAGGAGTTTTTAGGTAGTCTTCAATCTTCTTAGAAATTTGAAACTTTTAGGCGTTTTTAGAATTCTTCTAGGTTTTTGAATCTTAATTTTGTAGTCTTCTTTTAAGATCTTGGACAATTTTGAGTCTTTGAGTAGTTTTCAAAAAGAGTTTCAGAATCTTAGTGTTTTCATATATTCAAACAATTCTTTTCAAAACTTGAATCAGCAGATTTTGCTGCAATATTCAGTTTTACTTTTTCAAATCTTTAGTCTTTGGTCATGAACTTTGAGCTTTTAGTTTCAGTTCAGCTCACAATTTCATTGCTTATGACTACATTCCAAGTTATTCTACTACCTCTATCTCAATTAAAAGTACTTTTAGTCAAATCCCTGTAGCTACATTCATAAATTCTAGGAAATTACCTCTATTAATTCAATATTATCTTACAATGTATTTTTCTAAGGTTTATGTAATGACATGAACGTTTTTAATGCCAACGTGATTTATATAAACTTAATGGATAAATAATTGCCTTATTGGAATAATTTATAAAATATGCTAAATGCTTTCCTCATTTTTTTGTTTCAGGTATGGTACAATAATTTCTACCAAAGCTATACTAGATAAAAACACTAATAAATGTAAAGGTGAGTTTAATTTGGTATAAATCAATTGTAAAATTAATGTGAGCTAATTTTTCTTTTATAGGTTATGGTTTTGTCGACTTTGAGAGTCCAGTGGCTGCGGAAGGAGCGGTTAAAGCGCTGACCGCCCGTAACATACAGGCTCAAATGGCGAAAGTGGGTATATGGTATCATCAACGTAGACAAGCCACTGTACGTTTGCATGCAAGTAATACCTAGCTTTATCTACAAACTTTGTCACAGTCTAATAATGTAATATTGACATCAAATAATTATCAAGTAAAAATAGTCTTTTTCTATCTCAAATTTGCGATACAAAAATACAGTTTTTCTTTTTAGTTTGTTGTGACAAAGTTTAAAAAAATAACAATCAAATCTAGTGACAAAATAACTATAGCACTAGAGTTGACTTTTAGTTTGTATATTATGACAACAGAAAAAAAAAATGTAGTCTTAGACTGTGATGTGCTATGGCATAGGTGCATGAATTCTCTCTTTAGTTTTTCAAATAAAAATTTAATAATTAAAACTATCAATTATTATTATTGGCACCAGAAGCTTTTAATATGCAATAATTTAGTTCAGAGAAGTGGGTGCATAATTAATAATTATTATTAGAACTTGCTGCTTTTAAATAAAAATTAAATTAAAATACAAACAACAAGGATATTGTTATGTCCAATATGAGATTTTCACAGTCAAAATATTGTGCTCTGGCCTATTTTTTGGTAGGCATGGAATGTAGCACGCACGGCTTCAACTTTTAATTATTATTGATTACTGGGCATAATAATATAATTAATTGATTAATACTAGTGTTTATGGCTGTACAGTAACCTCCAAAAAAACAAGAAAAGCATTGCATGTTGTACAAATTAAAAAAAAAAACAGTAATCAAAAGAAATTTCATTGGTAAATAATTTATATATTGCATTAATTTTGTACAAATTTTATTTTTTTTTGATTGGATTGTGGCACTACCTATCTGACTAACCATGAAATAATTAATATTGTAAAAAGAGTTTGGACGGCATTGTCAATAATGAAATAATATTCGTTTAAGTAAATTTTATGTTTGAAAGTGGAAAAACGAATTCTTTAAATATTTACCCATCTTGTATGTCCAGGGTGTTTTTTTATATATTGACACCCTACCTACAGCCTTTACCTTTACACGTAGAAGAAAGGTATAAATACAAAACTTGTACAGTTTTGGGTGAATTTTTAGAAACCATGGTCAGAAACAAAATTTGAATGTCAGAAATGTGAAATTTTGCATTTTTCCAGCTTTTTTCAAATGGGATGCCTTATATTTCATTTTATATTCTTGAAGAGCCTAATGCTCCGATCTATATTTGATTGAGCAATCTCTCATATATTCGGCTTCAAAAATTGTAAAAATACTATCCTACTACTGATTTTGTTAACCATTCTACCTGTACAGGTGAAAGCTGCAGGTAAAATTTGTAGTACTTGGTTTCTCTGATAGTATTTTTAGAATTTTTTAGAACCAAATATGTTGAAGACGGCTTAACCAAATATAGACAAACTATATAGTTTTGGAATCGGAAAATTGTGCTCTCCAAGAATATAGAACCAAATATAGGGCATCCCATTTTAAAAAAGCTGAGAGCATGCAACATTTCACATTTCTGACATTCAATTTTTGTTTCTGACCATGGATTCTAAAAATTTAGCTAATACTGTACAACTTTTGTATTTACACCTTTCATCTACTTGTAAAGGTGAAGGCTGTAGGTGGGGTGTCAATACATACCCTGTACTTGAACAATCACATATTATGTAAAGTCAGAATTTGTAAGATTGTCTAATTTTTGTCAATTTGCCTTTCAACAGGAATCAGTAATGTTACTTTGCTAAAATAGCAACATAATGTGACAAGTTATTCAAGTACAAACGAGTGGATTGTTGCGGAATTTATGGGTTGTTCAAGTACAATACTAACCTGACTCACTCAAATGTCAGTTATTCTCATTAGTTCAAAAACTACAAGTTTCAGGTACTTAAGTGTCTTACGAGGGGTGAACACATTTGGCAAAAAGTGTAAACCTACATCCTTTTTTTGAGAAAATCACCTAAGTATTTCCCCGGTTCTTAGAAATCCTTAGGAAATCCTACTACATCCCAATAAATCCTAGTACATCATAGTAATTCCTTGGTAAATCCTTGCATATCCTAGTAATTCCTTGATAAATTGCCTACATCCCAGTAAATCCTTTATTGTTACTATGATTATTATTACCTAATAATAATATTCCTGTACATAAATAAGGCATATTTCGTTAGAAATATTATAGTTATTAAGATACCAAGGGCAATATGAGCCAAATAAGCCTCCGAGGTCCGATAGAGTACAAGTCAAAGGCATTTGGACGGGAGGTGTACAGGGTGCTGCAATTTGGAGTGTTTTAACAGGAAAAACATACTTACAGACCAGATAGAAGAAAATTGACTTAGATGTCATGGGATTGATTTTCGAGAAACGTTGATTGTCAAAAACCGTATCGCGATATCTTCAATGGTACCATTAATACAGGGCGATTTTCGATTTTCCCCTATTATGAAAAATGGCTATAAGTTTTTTGTTTATCAATTTTTCTTCTTTCTGTTAAAACTTCTTTGGGATACTTTTTTGAGCACAATCCCGTGGCGTTCTCAGTTTTTTACTATTTCGCTCCCATTTTGAGATAATAATCAAAGTCCGATTTTCTTAAATAGGACACCCTATATATTAATAGCTTATTGGATAGCTCTGCTTTTGCTGATTTCAAAAAAGTATCGGATATGTTTTTACAGAAATAAAAAAACTGATAAATAAAAACTTATAATTAGCTATTTTTCATAATAGGGGAAAATCGAAAATCGCCCTGTATCAATTGTATCACTGAAGATATTGTGATACGGTTTTTGACAATCGACTTTTTTCGAAAATCGATCCCATGACGTCTAAGTCAGTTTTCCTCTATCTGGTCTGGTAGAAGGTTTTTCCTGTTAAAACACTCCAAATTGCAGGACCCTGTTCATCGACCCTTTAGTTCATATTGCCTGTGGTGACTTCAACGTTTTATGTTTTACTAGTATTCTTATTTCGTACCTATCTAAATTTGAATTATTTGAATTTTACCTGTGACATTTTTTAGTTGAAACTTTGCTATTTTTGTCATGTTTCTTCCAAAATAAAGGTTAAATTCCTGAAAGCAATTTAGCTGGTGTGAAACCGGTATACAACTGGCTTTTTAATTGTTTATAATGCCCTAGGGCGTTATGAAAAAATAACATTCCCAGATTAATTATATCTGTAAGAAACCTGAAATTTGGTTGATTGGCTATCATTACATGCAATGATCATGTAATGATAGCCAATAATACACGAGCATGTTGTAGGATACGAAGCGAGCCGCAGGCGAGTTTCGTTTATAGCATGCGAGTTAAGGCAACTTGCTAGCTGAATTTCATGGTTACCATGATATGTCTGGCTCTAGGCCATATCCCAGATCTCCTACTCGGTTCAGTCGCTTGAATCTTCAGTTATAAACTTTGTAAAAGGCATATCCATGATTTGCCTAAATCAATCGCTGAAGCTGGATATAACCTGTTTCTGTCAAAATAAACAGCGTTTTCACAAGTCTCTTGGAGTTCCTTAAACCAACCGATCACACTCTGGCGAGACTCAAAAAAATAATTTCAGTACGCGTTCGCCGTTTCTTATGGCCTTTTTCCATTTGTCGCCTCAGTGCAGCACTCACTGCGCACGAGAATTTTTCTGGTGCTGTCAAAAGCGCACACTAGTGCAGTATAAATAGAAATCAAAAATGCAATGTCTCTCAAGATTATGCAAATACCCAAAATTTTAAGAGGTTACTTATGTACTAAAATCATGATAATCATAATGTTTGTTGGAATATAAAAATTGCACTGAGTGCACCTCGGTGCAACAAATGGAAAAGGCTATAATACATCCCCGCTACATCCCTGGTAATTCCTATAAATCCGAACTACATCCTGGGTACATCCCCGGTAAATGCGGTAAATCCGAAGTAATTCCTATACATCACCATACATCCTAAGATTTTTAAAGATCTCCCTGTACATCCCCAGGAAATCCTCATAAATCCTTGTGTGTGTACACCATAAATCCCCATGTGTTCACCCCTCGGTGTCTTATTTGAATAGTTCAACAGTATATTGGTGAGAAGATGGCTGCGGAACTCGCTGCGCTCGTCCCACAGAGGTCCACCCATAAATTCCGCAATAATCCACTTATTTGTACTTGAACAATAACTTATTATACGGGTGAGTTACTAAGCGCTGGTGGTCCATATCTCCTATACTAACGGAGATCGAGGAAAAAACTAAATACAAATCTTGTAGATAAACATGAGTATTACATTCCTGAATTATTTTCCAGTATAGAGGGTGGCCCAATAACTAGAAGTGACACAAAGTTATGTTTTTTTAAATGACTCCCCCTGTATATTATGGCATTTCTGAATTCTGCGGAAAGTTCTAGACATATTTCATGTACAATGTCATATACTTGTCTTCAACTGTTTTGGTGACTTTTTTGCATCTTTGACAGACTGTAAAACCTGATCGGTTAATTTCACAAGAAAACGGATTTTACATTCCTGTCTTAGTTTTTCATAAACTATCATTTGACACCGACCTTGAATTTAATTCATGATTAAAAATTCCGCCTAAATTATTAATCTTCGGTTGAATTCAAAGTTGGTGTCAAATGACAGCTTATAAAAATCCAACTAATGTAAAATCCGTTTTCCTCTAAAATTAACCGTCTAGGTTTCACAGTCTGTCAAAGCTGCGAAAAAGTCAATTTTCAACTGTCAATATTTCCGAAACAGTTGAAGACAAGTATATGATATTGTACATGAAATATGTCTAGAACTTTCCGCAGAATTCAGAAATGCCATAATATACAGGGGGAGTCATTTAAAAAAACATAACTTTGTGTCATTACTAGTTATTGGGCCACCCTGTATACTGGAAAATAATTTAGGAATGTAGTACTCATGTTTATCTACAAGTTTTGTACTAGGTTTTTTCCTCGATTTCCGTTAGTATAGGAGATATGGACGTACGTACAAATGAGTAAATTATTGCGGAACTTATGGGTGGACCTCTGCGGGACGAGCGCAGCGAGTTCCGCAGCC